AAGCACTTTGCCTGCCGATAATCCTCCCATGCTGCCATTAAGAAACAGAGGTTCTCTTGTTAATTAGAGCTTAATTTGGACTAATGTACATGCACATGTGAGAAGAGATGAGATCATAAACTGCGGAACTGAACCAGCTGCAAGGTCTTTAAGGTCTGAACTTGAGAGAAGATGACGTCATTCAGTACAAAAGGCGGTGGGGGGAGGGGAGCCTATGGCTTCTTTATATGAAGTTTTCTTCTATACGTTTATGATTTGGCAACCCTCCCTTGAATGCTAGTTCAGATTGTATATGTGCAAGTGAGGAGGGATGAAACTGGATTGTAGATATGAAATATAACATTGAATGGAACTGTGTGTGTGTAAAAAAACAACAAGGAAAAAGGGAGGGAAGCTCAATGTTGCAAGAGGTTTACGATGGAAGCTTACAGCTGACTCTTCCCCAACCTTTATTATTTACGGACTGAAATTAATAAGATTTTGGAATGCAGAAATAAAGAAAACCATCAAACCATCAATTCTAGCAAGTGGGGGGCCACCTAAACGATGTAATTTTGTATTTGAATGATTTGTATTAGTAATTCTGTTATAATTTGGAATTGTTATAATGAGGCTTTTATTGGACTATAATAGAAAAATAATTAAAACTATTATCAAAAAGAAAGAAAAGTCTGGTGTCTGCTCCATTTCCTGTGAAAGCCTGCTAGTGATGGATAGTCTTAATTCCCATTACAGTGGTACCTCGGGTTACAAATGCCTCAGGTTACAAACGCTTCAGGTTACAAACTCCACTAACCTGGAAGAGTTACCTTGAGTTGAGAAATCCACTTCCGAGCTAGGGAGGAGGTGGGGTTGCGGGCTTCACGCCCCTCCCCACACTCGCGGGGGCTGGCTCCACCCCCACGCGATAGCAGGGAATCCTCGGCCACGTCATACCCCGTGCCAACCAATTGGCGGGTCGGAGGGCGTGGCCTCGCCTACTTAGGTCTGGCGCGGCCGAGGACCGCCCTCTTTCCCGCACCGCAGCTGACCCGGTTTGTATTTGGTTTGTATCTCGGATTCTGCGGCTTTGTTCCCTGGTCTCTGCTCGGCCTTCTTTCGTTACCTTTAGGCAATACCCTTCTCTGTGCTTGTTGGAAGAGCAAAGCGGGTGGAAACGCTGCGGTTGCTTCGGCTCTCCAGCAGTCATCAGGCAGGAGGACCAGGGGTTTCGCCGCGGTGTCAGTCTCTCAATCAGCAGTCCCTCAGAAGGGGGTGGTTTCAGCAACTTATCCCAAACGCGCAATGCATCTCATAGCGCACATGGCACATGTGAGAAGGGCCTTTGCGCTGGCGGGGGAGAATGCTGCCTTATCTTATGACAAAGATTTCCGTAGAAATGCATCACTTTTGCCATCCACTCGCTGGGACCTGAGGAACCAGAATTATTGGATGGAACACGTAGGTCCCTATGTTGAAAAGAAATCTCAGGACTCTGCAAAAGCAGGGAAGGCGGAGCCAAAACAGCGTCGGCAATGCTGGGATTTCAACAGGGCGGTCTGTTCCCATCCAGCGTGTAAGTATGCCCACGAATTTGAAAGGTGCCTCAGTAATCACCTGGCCTCTGCTTGCTTGAAAGGAAAGCAGCCCTTTTGGGGCGGCAGGGGGTACTCACACCAAGGATCTAGGGGTCCCCCCAGACATCCACAAGGGACTTTTAGGAACTGCCAGTAATGTGGCCCTCGGGCTAGCGGTTTCACCTATCAAACTACACCCGTTAAAAGCCCTACTTGATATATACCCCAATAAAACAGCAGCCAAATATCTCTGGGATGGGTTTTCCTCAAGCTTTAGAATCCCGGTCTCTTTCCCACCCAACCCGTGCAATCCTCCCAATCAAAAATAAGTTAGAGAAATGCCAGAGATAGCTAGAAAGAAAATTCAAAAGGAAATTGCAGCTGGGAGGGTGGCCGGTCCCTCCCGCCAGCCCCCTATTGAAGGGTTACACATATCTCCCCTGGGCATTGTCCCTAAAAAAGCACCTGGGGAGTTCCGCATGATCCATAACCTTTCCTACCCAAGGGGTGGTTCCGTCAACGACGCCATACCACTGGAGCTTTGCTCAGTGAAATATGCTTCATTTGACCAAGCTGTTAAACTGATTCGTAAATTCGGAAAGGGGGCGCTGCTCGCCAAATGCGATATAGAATCAGCCTTCCACCTCCTCCCAGTGCACCCTGAGGATTTTCGATGGTTAGGCTTTAGATTTGAAGGGTCGTACTTCATTGACAAAGCTATGCCCATGGGCTGTTCGGTGGCTTGTGCAGCCTTCGAATCTTTCAGTACATTCCTGGATTGGGCGCTTCAATTTAAAACAGGTTCCATCGGGGTCTCGAATTACCTCGATGACTTTATTCTCGTTGCAGCTACAGAACCCCAGTGCACCAATTTGCTGAGGTCATTTATCTCCTTAGCTGAGGAACTCGGAGTCCCGTTGGCGGCAGACAAAACCGAGGGCCCCGCCACCAAAATGGTCTACCTAGGCATAGAATTAGACACAATTGCACAGTCTTCCAGGTTGTCAAAGGAAAAAGTAATTGCCCTTAAGGAGTTAATCCAACAGCTCCTCCCATTAAAAAAGGTTACCCTCAGACAAATCCAGTCTCTCTTAGGTCACCTAAATTTCGCCTGCCGGGTAGTATCCCCGGGGTGCCCCTTCTGTACTCGTCTGGCTAGATTATCGGCGGGCCTGCGGGCCCCCCAACATAGGGTTCACCTTTCCAAGGCGGTTAAATCTGACTTGGAAGCTGGCTCGAATTCCTGGACAATTACAACGGCATCTCTCTGTGGCAAGACACCATGTTGCTCCACGCTGATTTTCAGGTTCAATCCGATGCAGCAGGTTCACTAGAGTTCGGGGTTTATTTCAAGGGTCAGTGGTGCGCTCAACACTGGCCCCCCAATTGGCAGGGAAAACCCATCACACGTGACCTCACCTTTTTAGAATTCTTTCCTATCGTAGTGGCAGTTCATTTATGGGGGGAGGTATTTAGTAACCACAAGGGACGCAGGTGGCGCTGTGGGTAAAACCTCAGCGCCTAGGACTTGCTGATCGCATGGTCGGCGGTTCGAATCCCCGCGGCGGGGTGAGCTAACCCAGAAATAGTGCTTCAGGTTAAGGACTTTGCTTCAGGATGAGAACAGAAATCATGCTCCGGCGGCACAGCAGCAGGAGGCCCCATTAGCTAAAGTGGTCTTCAGGCTAAGAACAGTTTCAGATTAAGAACGGACCTCCGGAACAAATTAAGTACTTAACCCGAGGTACCATGCTAAGGAAATAAGAATCATCTCCTCAGTGCGGCACTTCCATTCCTTTGTTTTGGACGTGTTCTGGCCTCTCTTTTGCTCAGCTGAATAAACGAGTGTTTGTTGGATCTCTTCTGTCTCTGACAATTATTGATTTTCTGTGCCAAAGACAGCTGAGATTCGAATAGTGCAGCAAACAACAGTTTCTTTTTTAAAATTTGTAAACCATATCTATCATCTAGTTCGCTCCCACTCTGCTTGTTGCTTTAAAATATTAATTTGGCTTCTAGGGGGTTTGCTGAGTCAGTTATGAAAATAAATATATATACATATATAAAGAATCCATTTTTAGGCTCCACCCTCCATATACCGTCTTTTGCATTGAATGAAGTCTTCTTTCTAATTCACATCTTAACAACCTTGCAGCTGTTTCAATTCAGTAGTTTGTAACCTTGCCCAGACTGGTCGAGCATGCGTCTATACATTAATCCTAATTAAACTCTTAATGAGCAGAAGAACCTCTGCTTCTTAATGGTGGCGGAGGAGGGTTACCAACAGGCAAAGTGCTTTTGCACTCAGCACCTCCCTGCCTTACGCATTCCATATCGGAGCGAAAGCCAGGTACCGAGACAACCTGCAAGTGAAGTCCGCTCCCCCCTGGCTCGGTGGGGGACAGGACTTGCAAGTATAATTACCCTCAATCATCCTTGTTTTCTCCTTCGCCAACGATCTCCCATTGTCATGGGAGCTGTCTCCATTAAGGCAGCCAGAACTGGAAGCTGTGTCTGCAGTGAAGTTAATACCTAACTACTTAAATTCTCCATGCGCTATGGCAAATGGAGAGTGCCATAGTGCTTCTTGTAGTGCTTCTAAATTGATAGGAAGGATCACAGATTTAGAGTAGTTGATTCGCAATCCTGCTATCCTGTGATACATTTCTAACTGCCGCTTAGGTGGGTAAAGGCTGTTATTGGATTTTGCAAAGATGAAAGGGTGCCATCTGCCAACATACTCACTTTGTGTACCTCATCCTGCACAATGACACACTCTGTAAAAGGCGTCTTTGCATAGTTGGATGCCTAGTATCCCCATGAACAATGCAAACAGCAATGGCAACAGAGGGCAGCCCTTCTGGGTGTCCCTTAAGAGGTCGATAACCTGAGTATGAAATCCATTGATTTCTTAAAGAGGTGCAAGAACTTAGAAAACAATGAATCAATTCTAATAAAAATTCTTCTATTGGCCTGCACAATTAAACACCTTGTTTATTTCTTTGACCAATTAGAACCACGTTCCTCACTAACAAAATAAAATTATGAAATCATTTGATAGACATCTCTGTTTTCAGATGGATTAAAAATAATCATACTGGTGAACAAACATTAATCAAAATAAACAAATGCTAAAAGAATCATGTATCCCTGTTCGTCAAGCCAGATGCAAAGATGATATTTAGCACCACTGTCAAATTTGCAAATATGACAGCAGAATATATGATATAGATTTAGTAATGGAATCTTCCGCATGTGATTTGCATTTGCACAGAATCAACAAATGAAAATAGCTTGCTCCCCTCCCTGCAAGTTTCTCTATTCTGGAAAGAAGGCAGAAGTATTCTGCTCCCCACTGGTCATATAAAGAGCAGCATCAGCATCAGCCTCTGCTAATATTACACATTACACTGGAAGAAACACTTCTATTTCATGCTCAGAAAGATGCCTACCTTATTTAAATTGTTTGGCTTCGTTCTTCTGGTGATTGAAACCCTCATAGGAATGGTGGGAAATGGATTCATTGCTATCGTGAACTGCATTGACTGGTTTAGAAGCCGAAAACTATCCCCAGCTGACATGATCCTCAGTTGTCTTAGCTTGTTCAGATTTGCATTTCATGTCGTTTTGATACGGGCTGAAATATTCAACCTCTTTCTCGTGAACCCTGTTCTGATGCTGAACCTAAACATTTCATCTGATTTCTCATGGCTATTTCTTAATACGGCTAGCCTTTGGTTTGCCGCTTGGCTCAGTGTTTTGTACTGTGTAAAAATCGCTAACTTCTCCCACCCTCTCTTCCTGCAAATGAAGCGGAGATTCCCTGGGCTGGTGCCTTGGCTGCTTCTGGGGACTGTGGTCTTCTCTGCAATCACCACCACTGTGGCATTAACAGGTAGCAACATTTTTTCTAAATGTAATCTATATGAATCACATCTAAACAAGAACAATGACTCAGCAATTAACACATCCAATTCCTGTGAGTTTCTTATCCTACTATATATTTTTCCAAATCTCTTTCCCTTCACGATGTTTTTGTTCTCATCCATTTTATTACTAACTTCTCTGTGGAGGCACAAAAATCTGTTACAAAACAGCGCAAGGGATGTCAGCACAGAAGTTCACCTGAATGCCATCAAAGCCCTGGCTTCTTTCTTCGTTCTCTATGTAACTAACATTTTTGTGGAAATCTTGTCGATAGTTTTCTTTTGGAAGGGCATTAACGACAATGGGGTGCATTTAATTCTTTTTAATGTGATTGCTGCATATTCCTCTGGTCATGCCGTTAGCTTGATCTTCATGAGTCCCAAACTGAAACAGGAATCAATCAAGATGCTACATCAGCTAAGATGCTGAATGAAGCATTGAATGAATGAATGAATGAATGAATGCACTATCATGTCCAGACTGAACAGCAAGTGTTCTACCAATATAGGTTCCTTCTTAGTTCTGTGCTTTCCTTTCATATATCCATATTAACTTCCTCCGAATTATTTACACAGCATTGTGAGGTGGCTGGTATATGGTTAATCAGAGCTCTGAAGGTGCTGTTTTTTTCTTAATGGCTGCAGCTCTTTCCATGAATGGTCGATTCACCTGTATGTTATGTGCCTCAGAAAGAGCAAACAGCATTGAAATGGGAATGAACAGAGACTTGAGAATGAACAAAAGTAAGTCGAAAGTAGAGGATCCAGCTTTTGTGGGGGGAATCTTCTGCCTGAAGTAGTAGATAATCTCCTGCGGCACTTTCCAATTCTGCGGCACTCTCCTGCGGCACTTTCTAATTTCCAAGTCTGGGATCCGCTAAACCGGTTTAACCAGGAGGAATGTTGAAGATTACTTTCATAGACGTATCATTTATTCAAATGTTTGCAAGTAGATAGTAGAGAGTGACTAAGGAATATACAGATATTGTTCCTGAACAGCAAGTGCTGCAAGCAAGGGATCTGTATAAATAACAAAAGCCCGACAGTTTTGATTCAGGCTGTCTACGCATTACCATTTCCCCCCATCTCTAATTCTAGCGCACTCCCACCACTGGTGTTTGAATCCAAGCACACGTGACTGAAGCCACAATCTGTATGTGTCCTGCAGCTTCTTGAGAAGTGCTGGTGTTCAATGTCTTTGCCCTCAAACCAGCTTCCATCTGATAGAAAGCTGTAAGCTGCGGTATCTTTTTAAATTTTATTCACTTATTATATTTGCTATTCCGTTTCCTTATCAAGTAATTCAGAGAGACTTACACCAAAAAAAACCCCTCAAACTAAAGCCCAGGCGTAAAGAAAAGACTTTACAGTGATACCTCAGGTTAAGAACTTAATTCGTTGAGGAGGTCTGTTCTTAACCTGAAATGGTTCTTAACCTGAAGCACTACTTTAGCTAATGGGGCCTACTGCTGCCGCTGTGCCGCCACAGCATGATTTCTGTTCTCATCCTGAAGCAAAGTTCTTAACCCGAGGTAATATTTCTGGGTTAGCGGGGTCTACAACCTGAAGCATATGTAACCCGAGGTACCATTTGGCTAAAACTGGATGGTGGTGGTGGCAGGCCTGCCTCCCTGGGAAGAGCATTCCACAAGTGAGGGGCCACCACTGAGAAGGCCTTTTCTCATGTCACCACCCTCCAAAGTTTCCATGGAGGAGAAACACAAATAAGGGCCTCGGATGATGACAGCATGATCAACTTTGGTTCCCCTGGGAAGAGGCAGATAAGCTGAGGTGTATATTTTTTGAACAGCTCTTCAGCATGCACACGACACCCCACTGAATTGGAGTTGGGGGCGACGCAGGTGCAGGAAAACAAATCAGGTAATGCAAAACAGTTGAAAGACATCCCCACCCGCTTTTGATTTGAGATGTAGCAGTGCGAGTGAGGGACAAACCACTAATTTGTACCTAGCTCTAGGAAATGAGGGCGAGAGAGTGCTGAATTGATTTCTAAAAGGATCAGATGGTGCTGGCTGTCTCTCTGAAAATCTGATGGGGGAGCCGAGAGCTATTAGACATCTGTTGGAGTGCTTAATGCTAAATTTTCACCTGTCTTCTACTTGTATATTTCTAAGTAAGCACAACTATTTCAAAATGCCATCAAGCATCCCTCTAAGCCTATTCCAAAGGAAACCAAATGTCTGAAACTTCTCACTGCTTAGAGACTTTGTGTGTTCTTAACAGTATAAAGTAAAGATAAAGGGACCCCTGACCATTAGCTCCAGTCGTGACCGACTCTGGGGTTGCGGCGCTCATCTCACTCTATAGGCTGAGGGAGCAGGCGTTTGTCTGCAGACAGCTTCCGGGTTATGTGGCCAGCATGACAGAGCTGCTCATGGTGAACAGGAGCAGCGCATGGAAATGCCATTTACCTTCGCACCAGAGCGGTACCTATTTATCTACTTGCACTTGGATGTGCTTTCGAACTGCTAGGTTGGTAGGACCAGGGACTGAGAAACGGGAGCTCACCTCGTCGTGGAGATTCAAACCACCAACCTTCTGATTAGCAAGTCCTAGGCTCTGTGGTTTAACTAGCTATAGCAAAATCACTAAGTTCCTAGTGGTGGTTGCTTTTTGGGGGGTCAGGGTTGTTGTTGTTGTTTTATTATTATTATTTCTATCCAATGTGAACAGCAATGGCAACAGAGGGCAGCCCTGCTGGGTGTCCCTTAAGAGGTCGAAACCTGAGTATCAAATCCACTGATTGCTTAAAGAGGGGCAAGAACATAGAAAACAATGAATCAATTCTTTAAAAAACTATTCTGCTGGCATGCACAATTTAATACCCTGTTTTATATTCTGACCAATTAGAACCACGTTCCTCACAAACACAATAAATTTATGAAATCAATTGATAGACATCTCTGTTTTCAGATGGATTAAAAATAATCATACTGGTGAACCAACATTAATCAAAATAAACAAATCCTAAAAGAATCATGTATCCCTGTTTGTCAAGCCAGATGCAAAGATGATATTTAGCATCACTGTCGAATTTGCAAATATGACATCATAACAGATGCTATAGATTTAGAAATATACTCTTTCCAGATGTGATTTGCATTTGCACAGAATCAACAAATGAAAATAGCTCGCTCCCCTCCCTGCAAGTTTCTCTATTCTGGAAAGAAGGCAGAAGTATTCTGCTCCCCACTGGTCATATAAAGAGCAGCATCAGCATCAGCCTGTGTTAATATTACACATTACACTGGAAGGAACGCTTCTATTTCATGCTCAGAAAGATGCTTACCTTATTTGAATTGTTTGGCTTCATTCTTCTGGTGATTGAAACCCTCATAGGAATGGTGGGAAATGGATTCATTGCTATCGTCAACTGCATTGACTGGCATAGAAGCCGAAAACTATCCCCGGCTGACATGATCCTGAGTTGTCTTAGCTTGTTCAGATTTGCATTTCATGCCGTTACGCTACAGATTGCAATATTCAAACTCTTCTTCGTGGACCCTTTTCTGATGCTGAAGCTAAACATTGCATATGATTTCTCATGGCTATTTCTTAATACGACTAGCCTTTGGTTTGCCGCTTGGCTCAGTGTCTTGTACTGTGTAAAAATCGCTAACTTCTCCCACCCTCACTTCCTGCAAATGAAGCGGAGATTCCCTGGACTGGTGCCTTGGCTGCTTCTGGGGACTGTGGTCTTCTCTGCAATCACCACCACTGTGGCAATAACAGGCAGTATCATTGTGTCTAAATGTAATCCTTTTGAATCACATCTAAACAATAGCAGTGACTCAGGAATTAACACGACCAATTCCTGTGAGTTTCTTACCCTACCATATATTTTTCCAAATCTCTTTCCCTTCATGATATTTTTGTTCTCATCCATTTTATTGCTAACTTCTCTGTGGAGGCACAAAAATCTTCTACGAAACAGTGTGAGTGATGCCAGCAGAGAAGTTCACCTGAATGCCATCAAAGCCCTGGCTTCTTTTTCCATTCTTTACGTAACTAACGTTTTTGTGGCAATTTTGCCAATAGTTTTGTCTCGGATGGGCATTAACGACAATGGAGTGCATTTCATTTTTTTAAATGTGATTGCTGCATATTCCTCTGGTCATGCTCTTATCCTGATCTTCATCAGTCCAAAATTGAAACAGGAATCAGTAAGGATGTTACATCAACTAAGATGCTGAACGAAGCATTGAATGAATGAATGAATGAATGAATGAATGAATGAATGAATGCACTATCGTGTCAAGACTGAACAGCAAGTGTTCTACCAATGTAGGTTCCTTCTTAGTTCTGTGCTTTACTTTCATATATACCTATTAACTTCCTCCCCGTTATTTACCACAGCATAGTGAGGTGGCTGGTATATGGTTAATCAGAGCTCTGAAGATGCTGATTTTTTTATTAATGGCTGCAGCTCTTTCCTTGAATGGTCAATTCACCTGTATGTTATGTGCCTCAGAGAGAGCAAGCAGCATTGAAATGGGAATGAACAGAGACAAAATAAGCTGAAAGTAGAGGATCCAGCCTTTCTGGGGAGAATCTTCTGCCTGAAGTAGGATATAATCTTCTGGGACACTTTCCAATTCTGCAATTTCAAATGTGGGATCTGCTAAAACCAGTCTAACTAGGTAGAATGTTGAAGATTACTTTGTAGATGTATCGTTTGTTACAATGTTTGCAGGTAGATAGCAGAGAATGACTAAGGAATATACAGATATTGTACCTGAAAACCAGGGACAGGCGGGAACACACATCACTCGCGGCACATCTAAGTACCTGGCTCTCGCTCCGGTATGGATTGTGGGAGGCAGGGAGATGCTAAGTGTAAAAGCACTTTGCCTGCCGATAATCCTCCCCTGTTGCCATTAAGAAACAGAAGTTCTCCTGTTAATTAGAGCTTCATTTGGACTAATGTACATGCACATGCGGGAATAGATGAGAGCATAAACTGCGGAACTCAACCAGCTGCAAGGTCTTTAAGGTCTGAACTTGAGAGATGATGTCATTCAGTACAAAAGATGGGGGGAGGGGTACCTATGGCGGCTTTATATGAAGTTTTCTTCTCTACATTTATGATTCGGCAACCCTCCCATGAATGCTAGTTCAGATTGTATATGTGCAAGTGAGGAGGGATGAAACTGGATTGTAGATATGGAATATAACATTAAATGGAACTGTGTGTGTAAAAACAACAACAACAAGGAAAAAGGGAGGGAAGCTCTGGAAACATGCGATGGAAACTTAGAGCTGACGCTTCCCCATCCTTTATTATTTACGGACTGAACTGAATAATGTTAAAAGAACTTGGAATTCAATATAATTCGAAGTACAACCGCTCAGTTATCTCCAGCCTGGCTGATAGATGAAAGGAATCTGCAAACTTGCCAAGGAACTGATAAGGTTCATTACTGGGACAGTGTGATTTTTGCAGCTTTTGTCATAGTCGCAAAACAATGAAGCATGGGACGGAGCAATGGAGCAATTTCTGACACAACAATGGGATATTCACTCCACCCAAGGCATGATGGAGAACAGCAACAACCGGGAAAAGAGAGACATAACATTTTACAAGGACAGGAAGAAACATCACGGACAGAATAATTGTCACACACGAAGAACAAGGATACAGTTTGAGTGCCTCACTTGTAGTTTCATAAATCATTTAATGTGTCAACATGAATAGAAATAATTAATACTGCGGCTGTTGTATTATTATTTTGACTGGAATGTAATTGAAATTAATAACATCTTGGAAGGCAGAAATAAAGAAAATCATCATACCATCAATTCTAGCATGTGGGGGGGTACTAATCATTTGGTATTTGAATGATTGGTATTAGTAATTGTATTATAATTTGGCATTTTTATAATGAGGCTATCATTGGACTATAATTGAAAACTAATTAAAATTATTATCAAAAAGAAAGAAAGAAAAGTCTGGTCTCTGCTCTGTTTCCTGTGAAAGCCTGCTAGTGATGGATAGTCTTAATTGCCATTACAGTGGTATCTCAAGTTACAAATGCCTCAGGTTACAAACTCCACTAATCTGGAAGAGTTACCTTGAGTTGAGAACTTTGCCCCAGGATGAGAACGGAAATCGTGTGCTGGCGGCACAGCGGCAGGAAGAGGCCCCATTAGCGAAAGCACGCCTCTGTTTAAGAACAGTTTCTGCCCTCTCTTTTGCTCAGCTGAATAAACATGTGTTTGTTGGATCTCCTCTGTCTCTGGCTATTATTGATTCTCTGTGCCATATTGATTCTCTGTGCCATTTGTAAACCATATCTATAATCTAGTTCGCTCCCACTCTTCTTGTTGCTTTAAAATATTAATTTGGCATCTAGGGGGTTTGCTGAGTCAGTTTAGGGGGGGGGGAAATGAAGAATCCATTTTTAGGGTCCCCCCTCCACATACCGACCATTGCACTGAATGAAGTCTTCTTTCTTATTCACATCTTAACAACCTTGCAGCTGTTTCAATTCAGCAGTTTGTAAGCTTCTCCCAACTCTTCTAGCAAGCATCTATACATTACTCCTAATTAAACTTTTAATGAGCGGAAGAATCCCTGCTTCTTAATGATGGTGTAGGAGGGTTACCAACAGGCAAAGTGGTTTTGCACTCAGCATCACCCTGCCTCCCGCATTCCATATTGGAGCGAAAGCCAGGTACCGAGACGATCTGCAAGTGAAGTCTGTTCCCCCCTGGCGCTCGGGGAACCTTGCAAGGATAATTACCCTCAATCATCCTTGTTTTTTTCTTTGCCAACGATCTCCCATTGTCATGGGAGCTGTCTCCATTAAGGCAGCCAGAACTGGAAGCCGTGTCTGCAGTGAAGTTAATACCGAACTACTTAAATTCTCCATGTGCTATGGCAAATGGAGAGTTAACTAGTAACCAGCTCCTTGTAGTGTTTCTAAATTGATAGGAAGGAGCACAGATTTAGAGCAGTTGATTTGCAATCCTGCTACCCTGTGATACATTTATCGCTGCCACTTAAGTGGTTGAAGGGCTGTAAATGGATTTTGCAAAGATAAGAGGGTGTCATCTGCAAACATACTTTGTATACCTCATTCTGCACAATAACACCGTCTGTAGATGCGTCTTTGCATAGTTGGATGCCTAGTACCTCCATGAACAATGCAAACAGCAATGGCAACAGAGGGCAGCCCTGCTGGGTGTCCCTTAAGAGGTCAAAACCTGAGCGTCAAATCCACTGATTGCTTACAGAGGTGCAAGTACTACAAAAACAATGAATCAATTCTAAAAAAAAAAAATCTTCTATTGGCATGCACAATTGAACACCCTGTTTTATTTCTCTGACCAATTAGAACCACGTTCCTCACAAACACAATAAATTTATGAAATCATTTGATAGACATCTCAGTTTTCAGATTGATTAAGAATAATAATACTGGTGAACAAACATTAATCAAAATAAACAAATCCTAAAAGAATCATGTATCCCTGTTCGTCAAGCCAGATGCAAAGATGATATTTAGCACCACTGTCGAATTTGCAAATATGACAGCAGAATATATGATATAGATTTAGTAGTGGAATCTTCCAGATGTGATTTGCATCTCAAAAGAATGAACAAATGAAAATAGCTCACATCCCTCCCTGCAAGTTTCTCTGTTCTTGAGAGAAGGCAGAAGTATTCTGCTCCCCACTGGTCATATAAAGAGCAGCATCAGCATCAGCCTGTGCTAATATTACACATTACACTGGAAGAAACGCTTCTATTTCATGCTCAGAAAGATGCCTACCTTATTTGAATTGTTTGGCTTCGTTCTTCTGCTGATTGAAACCCTCACAGGAATGGTGGGAGATGGATTCATTGCGATCGTTAACTACATTGACTGGTTTAAAAGCTGAAAACTATCCCCAGCTGACATGATCCTGAGTTTGCTTGGCTTGTTCAGATTTGCATTTCATGCTGTTTTGATACAGGTTGCAATAATAAACGTCTTTTTTGTTGACACCTTTAAGATAATGAATGTATATATTGCATACAATGCCTTGTGGCTATATCTTAATAAGCCTAGCCTTTGGTTTGCCTCTTGGCTCAGTGTTTTGTACTGTGTAAAAATTGCTAACTTCTCCCACCCTCTCTTCCTGCAAATGAAGCAGAGATTCCCTGGGCTGGTGCCTTGGCTGCTTCTGGGGACTGTGGTCTTCTCTGCAATCACCACCACTGTGGCACAAACAGCCTTTATTATGACTAAATGTAATCATGATCTATTTGAATCACATCTAAACAATAACAATGTCTCGGCAATGAACACGACCAATTCCTGTGCGTTTTTTATCCTACTTGATATTTTATCAAATTTCCTTCCTTTCATGATATTTTTGATCTCATCCATTTTATTACTAACTTCTCTGTGGAAGGTACTATTTCTGGCTTAGCAAGAGGCCCCAGCTGAATAAACGAGTGTTTGTTGGATCTCCTCTCTCTCTGGCTATTATTGATTCTCTGTGCCAAAGACAGCTGAGATTCGAATAATTAAACTTTTAATGAGCGGAAGAACCTGTGTTTCTTAATGGTGGCAGAGGAGGGCTGCCAATAGGCAAAGTGCTTTTGCACTCAGCATCTCCCTGCCTCCTGCATTCCATATCGGAGTGAAAGCCAGGTACTGAGATGATCTGCATGTGAAGTCTGTCCCCCCCCCCTGCTCCGGGGGCGGGGGGACTTGCAAGTATAATTACCCTCAATCATCCTTGTTTTCTCCTTCCCTAACAATCTCACATTGTCGTGGGAGCTGTCTCCATTAAGGCAGCCAGAACTGGAAGCCGTGTCTGCAGTGAAGTTAATACCTAACTACTTAAATGGAGAGTGCCATAGTGCTTCTTGTAGTGCTTCTAAATTGATAGGAAGGAGCACAGATTTAGAGTAGTTGATTCGCAATCCTGCTACCCTGTGATACATTTCTATCTGCCAATTAGGTGGCTAAAGGCTGTTATTGGATTTTGCAAAGATAAAGGGTGCCATCTGCCACCATACTCACTTTGTGTACCTCATCCTGCACAATGACACTCTCTGTAGAAGGCGTCTTTGTATAGTTGGATGCCTAGTACCCTCATGAACAATGCAAACAGCAATGGCGACAGAGGGCAGCCCTGCTGGGTGTCCCTTAAGAGGTCGATAACCTGAGCGTCAAATCCATTGATTGCTTAAAGAGGT